CCAGCTCGACGCCGCATTTTCACGGCTGGTTGGGTGCAGGAGCTACTGAAAGCATCGCGACAGACATCCTGCTGCGCCCTGGCTCGCGGCATGCCGCATGCTTGCAAGTAGGGGGCACGTGCGAGACGGTCATGAATTTCACGGCGGGGCGATTTCAACGTGGACCGTGAACGCCGAAAGCCACGATCCTGGTGCACGCGTCCCTGGCGCGGGCATACCACCTAGGCAGCGAGTCGCGGGCGCGGTGAACTTCGCCCTTGATCGAGCCGCGCGTGATCCACAACCTGCTGACAATCCAATAGCGACCGAGCTGCAGAACCAAAGTCAGCGTTGCGGATGACGTCGTGGCCGTGATTATGCAGCGCCTGCGCGGTGTCTCGCCACTGTTCTAGGACCCAGGCGGGACGTCGCGGGCCTGCTGCCCTCCGCAGGCGGCGGTCGGCAGGGACAGCCTCGCGGGCCTGCCCGGGCTGAGCGGGGCGACGCGGCGGCCCTGCTCGACCACGCGGGCCCGCGGGGCCCGCCGCGCCGCGAGCGATGACCTCGATGTCCCCGCGATCGCCGGGGCCCACCGCGCCGCCAGCGATGTCGACGCCCTTGGGCGCGAGACCAGAGCGCGGGGCAATGCGCACGCACGCGCCCAGCTGGCGCTGGCGCCGCTATCCCGGCGGGTACAACTCCCCGACCTCAGGTCGAAATGCCGGCGTCGAAGATGGCGCGCAGGTCGCAGCCGGCAGAGCCGATGGTGCTTCGCGCAAGGGCCCTCGCATCCGGACAGAGAGCTGGACCGCCAGCTCGTCGCATCCTCGCCCGTCGGCGTCGCGGCGATCCTGGCCGCCGTTGCCCACCGCAAGCAGCTGCCGCAAGCGCCGTGAGCTGTCGGGGCGGAAGGCCCCCGGAGCACGGCTGGAGCTCGCCAAATAGGTCGCCGACTGGGATGCAAATTGCCCATCCGAAGCGGACTCCGCGTCGATGCGCATCGCGCCCGGGCCCCATGTGACCCCGCGGCCGCCCAGTCCGGGGAAGGCGAGGCACTCGTGGCTCACGCGTGTCTCCACCGCCACGACGTTGGACTGCGTGGATTGCAGACTGCAGACCTAACTAGAAGGGCAGTGAGAGCGTCGCCTGCGCCCTCCACGGCGGGAGCGCGCAAGCTGTGCTGAGCGGTCGCACAATCGCGTGATCCAGCGACGCTGGGGCAGTGACCCGCTGCCCACTCCCGTGACCCAGTTTGCCACATCTGACCCGTTGCCACACATAGTGGAGCCGACGGCTTCTGCACCGAGGGTTGGAGCTCCGCCTGCACGGCTCGCCCCCGGCGAATCGCGCGCCCCAGAGCTTGGCCCAGGCGCCGGCGTCGACGACGACGCGCCCACCGCGGGGCTCGGCGACGCCGTTTTGCCTGCTGTCGCAGCAGCTTGAGTGCCAGCCTTGCGCCGCGGAGCTCGTCGGTGGGTCGTCGCGGGGTGCAATCGCAAGCGAAATGCACGCTGTGCCTGGGCCGGTCGCCGCCGGGCACCCGCGTCTCGCGGCCGACAAGCCGCGCGGCCACGCTCCCCGATGGTTGGCTCGCGCCGACTTGCCTGCCCGCGTAGAAGAAGGCCAATCCAGACGGAGTGCACGGCGCTGGCGGCGGCGCGGGTGCCAGCGCCGATCGCGGAGCCCGAGTGGAGCTATCCGCGCGGCGCGCCGATGCCGAGCGAGGGCCCCGACGGCACGTCGGCCCAGCTCGGAAGCTCCACGTCGGCAGCAAGCGGCGCCGGAGCTGCGGCCTGCGCCCGGGGCCGCCTAGCCAGTCGCGCCCCCGGTCCTGCCCCACAAGGAAATGCCTGCCCGTGCCCACTGTAGAAGTGCAGGCGGCGCAGCTGGAGTTGTCGACCCCACAGGGGCGGCTGGCCCCGGCCCCCCCATTGCTGCCGGGCGGGTCTGCAACGCAGTTGCTGGGCCCGGAGGCTGGGCCGAGGCTTGCGCGCGGCCCATGAGATCGCCCATCTCCAGTCGCAGTCGTCGCCACTCCGCGTCGCGGGGGCCGGGCAACCGCGACGGGGGCGCCGCGCCCGCCCAACGTCGCCCAACTTGGCCACTGACTGCTGCCAACCCGTTGCCACAGGCCGTCGGGCGGCGAAACTGGCGGAGTAGCTGCAGCTGCCGCTGCCGGCCGCGGCACAAACGACGCCTGCGCGGGCCGCGCGCCGCCCCTCGGATCAGCGCCCTGCACGGGGCCGCTCGCGCCCGAGCCTGCAGACCTAAGCTGCCCATGGTTGGCGGAGCCCCCAATCGCGCAAACTGGATGCACGTTCGCCACAGGCCGCTGCCCAGCTAGGCTCGGCGGCCCTTGCTGCCCGAGATTTGACAGCGGCGCGGACGTCGGCGGCACTGGGGCGCAGGCGCCGAGGAAGAGAGCGCCCCCGCGGCCGCCGCGCCTCGGGCAGTCGCGCACGAGGGCTTCCTCTGGAACACACCCGCGGCATGTGAGTCGCACCCCGTCGGGGCCCGCAAGGTTCCCCTGACGGCCCGAACTCGCGCCGCCGGCCCTGAATCCCCCTCGCCCCTCACCCTCGCCCTTCCCGAAGCCCGCGAATGTCTCTCAGATGTCATTTTCGGTCAAGCCTCTGTCGCGGCCCTTGCCCTTCCCCTCAATGAACCCCAAACGCGGCGCGCGGGCTGGCGCGCCCGCGAGCCCAGAACATGCGCGCGCCGCGCTGCTCCATGAGAAAATCGCGCAGCTCGGGGTCGTCGTCGGTTATGTCTCCTTTGCCGAAGTAGCTGTTGGCGTCGACGTCGGTTCCTGAGTCGACGGCAGCTGCCGGGAACGCCTCCCGCGCTGACGGCGCCTGCGCAGGCGGGGTCGGCACCGACCCCGCCCCGCCGCAGGCGCCCTGAGCCGGATCTTGCGCGCGCCCGCGAAGACGGTTCTCTGTTGGGCCGAGCGCGCTGAGGTGAGACTGCCGGGCGATCCCTGAGCCATGCGCCCAAAGCGCGGCAATTGACCATGGTCGGTTGCACGTGGGGCACCCCCACCGAGCGCAGGAGGAAGAAGCTCAGACCCGCGTAACCGTTCATGAATTGACCGGCTTGCTGGGCGCGATTGCGGAAGACGTCGGAAGGTGCGACGAGTTCATCCATGCGTTTCTGCGGCAGTCGATTGAAGTTCACATGCGCCGACACTGCCGAGGCGCGCTCCACCTTGCCCCCTTTGCCTCAGCGTTCGGCCAATCTGCGCGTTTGGAAAATCATCGGCGGCACTGGGTCGCCGTTGATGTCGCATCCCTGCGCGACGACAGCTTGCGGCCATTCGCCCGCGCATTCTCGGGGCACGCCCGCGAGGCGAGAAGAGCCGTAGGCCGTCTGGTGAAATTCGTCGAGGCCCGAATTCGCAACTGACGAAAACATCACCTCCCGCGCCCATTGCCTGGAGGGAACGCGACAGTGCTGCTCGGGCCCCCAGGTGCGGAGGTACTGCGCGCTGCCGTTGCCGCCACCTGCGTCCACGCATGTGAGGCAGCTGGCCAGGGCAAGCATGCCCACCCCGATGGCCGTCCATCAGAGGTGGAGATCGCTCCATCGCTGGAGGTGTTGGGGGCCGGGGGCCCGCCGACGACGTTGCTCTGACCTTGAACTTCGAAGCCGTCGTGGGTCCCTGCCCCGACTGTGTTCGTTTTCCTCGGCGTATTGGGCATTGTCTTCTGTCGCGTCGTTGCGGATGTCACCGCGCCCGAAACACCCCGCAACATAGATGCGAGAATGTCCCTCGCGCGTCGTGTCGCCATTGTATTCAACACCACAAAGCGTGCGATAATCCAGAGGAGTGCGCATCGGGAACTCGACCTGCCAGTCTGGAAAGGTATCGATTGGTATGGCGGTATGTCTTGTACCAAGAAAGCGTAGACCGGTTGTCCCAGACCTGTTTCACTGCCCCTCGGAAATGGCCGCACACTTGTCCTGAACTCCACCGAAGTTCCACTCATATCCGAGCTCGTACCCGCATACGTTCCCCAAGGCCCCCACAACATAGTTGCGTGAAGTTCGGGAACGTTGGTTGAGGCTCCTGATGGGGTGGGTGAATGCGGAGAGCCAGAGAAGCATTGTTGCCGAGCAGGTATACGATGATGGGGAACAAACCGAAGACTGGCAGAAGTGCCGCCTAGGCCATGGCGGCGACAGGTAGTGGAAGGAAGCCAAAACTCCGCTACCATATATGAAAACGGACGTACGTTAGATGCGATTGCACGTGGACTAACACGGTCTGAACACGGGTCTAACACAGGCAGGTAAAAAGGATCCCTTTCCGTGCCCCCGAGCCAAACGGCGGTCAAACAAATATTTCGGGGATGGGCAGACCCCCCTTTAGTAAAACGTGGTTTAGTGAAAACGACCTGAGGCCCAAACCTGGCGGGCGCAAGCCTCGAAAATAGCTGCCACGGCGCCCTCTCGAGAACCGAAAACGGACAATTCACTAATCGACGTGTCACTGTTGGGGGTTCCGTCCACCCCCGAATATTGAACAGGACAAAAACACCTCTCAGTAGGCTACCGTTCGAGCAGAAGGAGGCGGAGGAGGGGGGGCTGAGGAGAAGGAGGAGGATCGAGGTCCGAGAATCAAAGATCAAAGATCAAGGTTGTTCGACGGTGTTACATCTTCGACCCGCTGGGATGCTTCTCGCACGTAATCATGGTGTTGAGGACCCCTGCGCTCAAGGCTCCGAGCCTTCTTCAAAGATGGCACCCCTCGAAGAGGCGAGGCTGGACGGGCCGAAGTGCACGCCCGACAGAAATAGCGTGGGTGTCTCGCGAAGTCTAACCGTGTGGCGTTGACATTCCTGGATCGGCCGCACCTCCCGTGATCGCGCTGACACGTTCGACCTGCTGCCGACCAAAGCCGTCCATTGCGAACGAACTACGCGCACGCTTCTCCCAGCTCGCTGACCTTCTCACCAGCCCGACTCTCGACGTCTTCTCCTGCGAGCCCTTGCTGACTTGACTCGAGAGAAGTGGCGCACCAAGCCCGAACAGCGACATCACGAAGCACAACCAGCCGTCCTGCGTCCCCGGCCCCACTCTCAGGGGGAACGAAGAATGACATAAACAGAAAAACTCGAACGTCCGTGCGGATCCGAACTCCACGCGGACCTTCGAGTTTGTATGTTTGATATCCTTCGTGTCCATACACTCTCCCAAGCAGACCTCTCCCCCGAGGACGAGGTATGCGGGTGGTTCACACCCCGAGGCAACGCACATGATGCTCGCTGCACACCCAAAGCGCTTGGCGCAGACATGCCCCCATCCCGCCTCCCCTCCCTCCCCCCCTCCCCCCTCCTCTTGGAGGAGGACCAGGGCTGGACCTAAACGTTGTCTTTCGTTTTCTGTTCGTGTTGTGTTTTGGTTAGCTCTACCTGTTTTCAGGTACCTCCCTGCCAAAACGAAAAACAAAACAGCCGAAGTCCAGCAAAACAGCGTTTAGGTCCAGCCCCCAAGTGGACCAATTGAGTCCACGGCGGCCCCTGAGCCCACAAAGCATGAGCTCGAAATAAGTGGACCAAACTAGGCCTCTCGTCACGAGGCAGGACCTTGGGCCAGAACCCAGCCTCAGCTCTCTATCGGCACTTCCGAGTGGGACAGAATCTGCCAGCATCAAATCGATACACACTGGATCGGATCAAAACTTGCGTCGGATCGGGCTGCCTCGACATGGAGTCGGAATATAATTGGATCGGCCGCGTCAGAATTCACAATGGTTCCATGGAGGCATCGCGCCACATCGGATCCGATCGGATCTCCAGGACGTTAGAATCGAATAGGACCAAGCCAGCCTGACCCGATGTCGAACCGGATCGATCGGATCTAAAAACGGACTCCATTGGTGGCGGTGGGTTCACGCTTGCGCACCCGCTGAAGAAAGCGCACCTGCCGAAAAAGCGTGTGCCGTCGCTGTGAAACCAAGGCCGCGATCGCCCAATACACCCTGCATCCGCCGACGGCGTACTCCCCGCGTGGCGTCAGTGGTCCCACGGCTCACGCCACCCGTCCAAGAGAGCGAGCCTGCTACCGAGAGGGCGCGCCAACTCGACCACCGCGCTGGGGACTGGCTCCGCAGGGGGGGACATCGACCTGCAACCGGCGATACATCGCCTGGGTATATCGGCGACAGGCCCCCGCTGGCGAGTCCGAACCTCCCTGGGGTCGGGCGGCGATGTCAGACCCCTAATGGGCGATTGGGGGCCGACGCGTCCCCCAACCGCCCATGAATCGGGGGTGCGCGGGGGACGCTCGCGGGGAGGGGCCCGCAGGGACCGCCCGCCCGAAAACCCACTCGCCCAGAGACCGCTCGCCCAGAAGACAGCTCGCCCATACGACAGCTCGCCCGCAAGCCCGCTCGCCCGGAGACCGCCCGCCCAGAGGCCCGCTCGCCCAGAAGCCCGCTCGCCCAGAGACCGCCCGCCCGGAGACAGCTCGCCCTGAAGACAGCTCGCCTGGAAGCCCGTTCAGCCGGAAGCCCGCTCTTCCGGGCGCGGGGGGCGCGGGGCAACGGGGAGGCAAGTGCGTAGAGGAGGACGAGAGGCGGAGGAGGAGGAGGAGGAGGAGGAGGAGGAAGAGGAGGAGGAGGGGGAGGCGGAGGAGGAGGAGGAAGAGGAGGAGGGGGATGACGGGGGGGAGGTGGAGGAGGGGAGGAGGAAGAGGAGGAGGAAGAGAAGGAGGAGGAGGGGAGAAGGAGGGGGGGGGAGGGAGGGGGAGGAGGAGAGGAGGAGGAGGAGGAGGAGGAGGAGGAGGAGGAGGAGGATGAGGAGGAGGAGGAGGAGAAGGAGGAGGACAGGAGGAGGAGGAGGAGGAAGAGGAGAGAGGAGGAGGAGGGGAGGAGAAGAGAAGGAGAGAGGAAGGAGGAGGAGGAGAGGAGGAGGAGGAGGAGGAGGAGGAGGAGGAGGAGGAGGAGGAGGAGGGGGGTGGAGGAGGAGGTGGAGGAGGAGGAGGAAGAGGAGGAGGAGGTGGAGGAGGAGGAGGAGGAGGAGGGAGACGGGAGGAGGATGAGGAGGAGGAGGAAGACAAAGACAAGGACATCCGCATAAAAGGGGGTATAACGTCAGGGCGCCGACTCAGGCGACCTACGCGCTACTACCAAAATCCCCTTCGAACTGTTGTGCTGCAGCCTTGCCTTCTCGCTGAGGCCGGCAGGGGGCATGCCACGTAGCTCAAGGACCGGAATCCGAGGAGGCCCCGTAAGAGAGGCTCGCTACCTCACATCACGAGTCCCTTCGGGCCAGTGCAGGGGGAGCGGCCGCTGGCCCTTCAGCGTGCCCAAGGGGAGGGGACGCGCGGGCTTAGCAGGGCGCCCAAGCCAAGGGGGGAAGGAGACGACGACACCACCTCAAAAGGAAGAGGGGGGAGAGACGAAAGGCCCGAGACCCCAATTTGTTGTTGGGGGCTGATAAATCTACAACCTGACTTCCGTGCACCCCTCTCGTTTAGCTCACTTCTCAGTGGCACCGAGAGATGTTCCATGTTTGTCACAGATGCACTCTGGCACCCTGTTGAAGTAGGCCCAGGTTCCCCCCTCGGAGCGCACGAGGTATAGCACTTTGGAACTCACGGTCGTAGAAAGGGCCAATGAGCACACTGGTGGGTTTCCTGATGCTGTTTCCCCTTCGACACCCTGCAGCGGTGTACCAGATGGTCCTCCAAAAAATACTCCCCGTTGCGGCGGCGACGTAGGCGCTCTGTTGCGCCTAAATTGTCATGAGTTGCACTCCGAGAAACCTCGCTAATGTTCCTCCTGACTGCCTGCGGGCACAGACAGCTCGCGTCTTCCCTAGATTAGATCAGTGGGCTCCAGTGGGTGCACTCACTGGTGGCCGCTGGATGATCTGGCCGCAGTCGTCTCCTCCGGCTTGGGGCCGAACCTTTTCCGCGAACATCTCGGCGCCATCCAGCATGGTCTGGGTGCTGTCTCGTAGCCTCTGGCGTTCCTTCAGTCTCTTCACTTCCTCTGCGTCCATGTTGTCCTCGATGTTCATCTCCTTGATAGCAACCTTAATTACGTTGTGGAGGTTCTCTTCATCGTTCTTCACAATCTTTAACGCCAGCTCACACCAGCTCTGAACAGTGAACGCCATCTTCCCTGACCTTTCCCATTGGTCCACTGGGTAACTTGCGATGAGGTCGCAACCTTCGATCTTGTGCGTCATCGAGAAGGACAATGGGATCAGCTCGAATAGCTCCTCTGGGCTCAGGAGGAGGAGGAGGAGAGGAAGGAGGAGGAGGGGGTCGGGGATGAGGGGGAGGAGAAAAGGCGGAAGGTGACAGGAAGGCAAGAGGAGGAAATGGGAAAGCACAGGGGCATTTTCGGACAGCGCTAGGCCATTCGCGGGTGCGCTGCCACTGTGACGAGCCAGAGACAAATGCGACCGCGGCGCGCCCAGCACAAGGCACGGCCAACGTTGTTGACCCGTGCACGAACCCACCGCGCCGGACACTGGACGCAGTCGGGCGGGTCGGCTAGGGCGGGCGGGATTAGATTAAAATGTGGTGCAAACACGAGTGAGCATTCACTACCAGGCGCGAGTTGGGTTATGCGGGCGCACCCAACGGGCAGGTCGGGTCGGGAGGGCGGGACAATAAACAGTAAGCCCTAACGGGCAGGCCGGGTCGGGCGGACGCACCGTAACGGTCGGTTTGGGGGTCGGGCGGGCGGACCCTAACGGGCGGGTCGGGTCGGAAGGGCGGAGCATGACAATATGATGCGCACTCGATTGAGCAAGCGTGAGCTCTAACGGGCGGGTCGGGTCTGGCGGGTGCACAAGGTCGGGTCGGGCGGGCGGACCATAACGGGTGGGTCGGGTCGGGCGGGCGAGACATTACAGTACGGTGCACACGTGGGGGAGCATGCGTGAACCCTAACGGGCGGGACGGGTCGGGCGGGCGGACGGCGACGGAAACGGCGGCGGTTACAGCGACGGCGACGACGACGACGCCGACGAAGACGAAGACGAAGACGAAGACGAAGACGAAGACGAAGACGACGACGCCGACGAAGACGAAGACGAAGGCGAAGACGAAGACAACGGCGGCGGCAGCGGTGGCGACGGCGACAACGATTGCGAGGACGGCGACGGCGACAAAGGCTGCGACGAGGGCGGCGACGGCGGAGGGAAACAGAAAGAGCGGAAGGGAGGGGTGACAGGAAGTAGCAGGGATCCTGGAGCGAAAAGGATGAGGGATGGGGGAGGGAGGGACGACGGATGAGGGAGGTAGGGGAAGATAGAGGGAAGGGGGAATGAGGGAGGGGAAGTGTATGAGGGAGGAGGGGAGGTCGCAGAAGAAAGAGGGATCGGGGAGGGCGGGAGAAGGAGAAGAGGGAGAGGCAGCGTGAGCAACGAGGGAGAGTAGCAGGAGGGAGCCCCAGCAGCAACGAGCGAAACGAAAAAAAACGGTCCTGCCCGGGGCAGGCCCCTGCCAGACCCGGGCGACCTGCTGGAGCGGGGGCGTCTTGACGGAGCGGGCTCCGGCCCGAGCGGGGGCGTCGGCAGGAGCGGGCTTCTCTCTTCCCGCGCGCCCGGCGGCGGCGGGGTCGACACCAGCTGCACGCAGCGGAAGCTGGCCACGCTGCGGGAGGAGGAGGAGGAGGAGGAGGAGGAGGAGGAGGAGGAGGACGAGGAGGACGAAGAGGGAGAGAAGGAGGAGGAGGAGGAGAAAGATGGGAGGCGGCGGGGCGCTCTCGGGAGGAGCTCGGGGGCCGGGCGGGAGGGGCGGGAGCAGCGTGGGCAAGGGGCACGGGGAGGCACAGATAGATAGACACAGATCCCAGGATTCCCCATTATGTTTCCATCTGTTCTGCAGTTTCGCCTCCCCCTGCACTTCTCGTATGCTCCATGTGCTCCTGGGAATCGACGATTATGTGTGTGTGTCTGTGTGTGGTTTCCGTCCTGACATTTAGAGGCTGGAAAATCGGGACCAGCACCAACACAGGGGGTCGCCGATAGAGACGATCCTAAAATTTGATTCACTTGGGAGGCCCGAAGATTACCACCATCACCCAGCTCGGAATCGTCTCCCCGCTGTGGAGGCACACCGCCGACATCTCGCCATCGCTCGGATGTCCATTCTCCATGAATTATTCGGCCTCGTGCGTGTACGTTTTTGTTCGCAAGGTGACCCAAAATGCTACTCTATGGTCACTGCCGAGAAAAACTGCACACGTCCGAGCGATGCCAATGACAATGGTGTTGGTGTCAACCTCTGTCAGGAATCTTCTGACCCGGGTCAGTCCAGACCCAAGTCAGTCGGGCTTTGCAAGATCCTACAAGATCCTGCAGGATCCTGCGCCCCTGCCCGGGTCAGTGCAACCCTGGCTCTGCAAGATCCTGCAAAATCCGGCAACCCTGGCTCTGCAGGATCCTGCAAGATCCGTCGCTCTGACTGACCCCCGTTGGCACCGACCCCCGTCTAAGGGCCCCCGACTCGCGCCAGGTGGTAGGCGGGGCCTGTGGGCGCGGCGGGGCGCGCGAGAGCAATGCTAGAGCACTCATGAGCGAAACACCATCTGAAAAACGTCCTGCCCCTCCTCCCCCTCCTCCCCCTCCCCCTCCTCCTCCTCCTCCTCCTCCTCCTCCTCCTCCTCCCCTCCTCCTCCTCCTCCTCCTCCTCCTCCTCCTCCTCCTCCTCCTCCTCCTCCTCCTCCTATCCTCCTCCTCCTCCTCCTCCTCCTCCTCCTCCTCCTCCTCCCCTCCTCCTCCTCCTCCTCCTCATTCTCCTCCGCGCGATCAATCTGCTTTTGTCGGGCCGGGCGAAAGGGGGGGATAGCAAAGGGGGGGGTTGAGAATCAGCTCACGTAGCTGATTTTCAACCCCCCGGCGCCTCCCGGCGCCTCCCGGCGCCTGAGGCGCCCATGTATCGAGGAATGGGCCCCTCGGTGGGGCCGAAACCAGCTGCATGCAGCAGATTTCGTAACCCCCCCTTTCCCCCAATCCCCCCCTTTCGTCCGGCCCGATTTTGACCCGTGCCGCCGCTTCCTCTCCGCCCTGCCATGGCTCCGGCGCCTTTCTACCCCCTGTGCATGCCTCGGCGTCGTGCATGGTTTTTATGCTCGCTGATAGATGCCTGTTAGATGGGGTCGGAGTAGATGGGGTTGGAAGATCGCACGGCATCGCCGATACATCGGCGATACATCGCCGATGCATCGGCGATGCATCGGCGATGCACCAGCGATGCAAAGTCGACGTCGGCGATGCATCCGCGACGTCGACGCCGCATCGCCGATGCATCGGCAATGCGGCGAGATCCTCCGACCCCATCTACTCCGACCCCATCTAGGAGGCCTAGAGCTGATCCAGGATGCTCCTCGATGGCCCTCGCCGAATGACATGCACGCGTCCGAGCGATGCCAAGTCCATGGGGGGGGGGGGGGGGGGGGGGGGGGTGGGGGGGGGGGGGGGGGGGGGGGGGGGGGGGGGGGGGCGAGGTAAGGGGCGGGGGGGCAAGGAAGGGGCGGGGTAATTACCTTTCCGAGATCGGGGGACGCCAACTGTAGAACCCACAGCGGATCGTGACTGGGCAACATTGGGCATGAGGCCGGTGAGATTAGGCGAAAGCGAAACCTCAGGAAGTGATTGAACACACACCCTCCCCCAGAATATCGTTCGCACCTAGATTAGAAGAGCCAACTTCTTCATGAACTCGGAAAATAAGACTCTACACTCATCTTGGGCATAAGATCGGCCAGGATCGGTATAAGTGTATAGGAGGCGTCTTCCTACGAGCTGTGAGCGTCATCGCGGCTGCGCGGCGGGGTAGGCGGGGACCGCTGAGCCTCGAAGGATTCGCGTGTGCTGGCACATCGGAGCCATCCGGGCTCAACAAGTCCTGGCCTCCCAGGTCTGCACTGTGTGCTTCTCAGAGGGCCAGATTCCTGAACTGGAGCAGGATAGGGCCTATAGGGGGAGGAGTCCCACTGGGCGGAGCCGGTAGAACGAGTTGTCGGTTCTCCGCTCCAGAGGAGCACAGGATTTCCCCATCTCCCGCCTCCCCTTGGCTTGGGAAGGTGCTGCGATGCGTCAGAGGGTGGCCCAAGAGTTCTCCAAAATGTTCCCCGATGCCCCAACATGGCATCCAAGATGGCTCAAGATTGCGGAAAATGGTTCACGATAGCCTCCGATATGGCGCTGGGAGGCCCCAAGACGGCCGCAAGACGGCTAATGGTGATCTCTGAGCCCCCCAAGGAACCGCTCAAGAGACCCCTAATCGCTCCAATGCAGCTAGAGTAAATGAATAAGGATTGCCTTCTCGCCTTTTCGCCTCCGATGGACCTGCGGCCTCAAGATGCCTCCAGCATGACCCGAAACCCAAGAGGGCCCCAATACTGCCAAAAGGCCCCCAAGAGGCCTTCAAGATGTAATTGTCCAGCTTACGCGGGAGGGACCCGAATTGCCGTCGAGCCATCGAACCCAAGATCGACCGAAGAAGGCCCCCCCCCTAAGAGCTCCAAGAATGCCCCACAACCCCAAAAAACACCAACAGAAAACTCAAACAACGTCCGGGGATGGTCCCAAGAGGACCAGGTCCCAGGATATCCCCAAGAGTCCTCCAAGGGGCTCTCACAAGAAAAGATCCACGACGGCCTCAGCCTCGTCCGCCTTCTCCTCATGTACCTTTTCTCCTTCTCCTGCTCCTCCTTCTCCTGCTCCTCCTCCTCCTCCTCCTCCTCCTCCTCCTCCTCCTCCTCCTCATCCTCCGACTCCTTCTCCTCCTCCTCCTTCTCATCCTCCCCTCTTAATACCTCTCCTCTCCTCTCCTCCTCCTCCTCCTTCTCCTGATCATTCTCCCTTCTCCGTCTCTTCCTCCGCCGCCTCCTGGTCAAAGTCCTCCTAATGGTGACCCTCGTTCTGCTCCTCATCCTTCTCTTCTCCTTGAACCCCCTCATCCAAATAACTCTCAAGAGCATCGTCTCTGGATGGGCTGGTGGGTGTACGCGATCCGAGGAAAAGGTCGGGTCTTGTCTCGGCAACAGTATGGTAACCCATGGCACGGGTGGGCGCCTGAAACAACTCGACCAACTCAATCACGGACAGGGATGGCCATTCCTTTCCTGACTTTGGGGGCAGCCTTCGGGACAGTCCAGATAAGGGCTCGAGCCTCCAGCTCCTTTCACGGAGGTTTGTTTACAGATGTATGTCAGCGCCCAAGGGCTGCCAAGACAATCACCAACACCACGGATGCACACGTGCTTGCAGGAGCCTGTTTTTTTTATTGGATTCAGGCAAGTTTACTTGCATGGCGTTCGCCCCCCCCTCGCCCCTCTTCAAGCGAATACTAGCGTGCGTGCCTTTCGACTTGCGTGATTTCCGCGCCCCCCCCGGGCTTGCTTCAGGCTCAGCCCCCCCCCCCGTCCATGCAAGTAAACTTGCCAGAGTCTAAACAAAAAAAAACAGGCTCCAGGTGAGACTATAGACAGTTGTGCCACCCGCGTGTCTAAGCCGAAGGTGTTAAAGCGCGAAGGCAACACACACACACACACTCACACACACTGGCAACAACCGCTTGCAGCATTGAAGGAAGTCACACGTGCTCGGGGTGCTTACCGACAGACCCGCAGACGAGGAGGAGGAGGAGGAGGAGGAGGAGGAGGAGGAGGAGGGGGAGGAGGAGGAGGAGCAGCAGCAGCGGCAGCAGCAGCAGGAGAGGGAGGGGGAAAGCAGGCGCTTGCCAACACCAGGAGGAGGAACAGCCTGTCGAAGGTTCGCTCGGATTCCTTGGATCGGCGCTGGACCCCCTCCCTAGCGCGACGGAGCGCGCCAGGGACGGCGCTGGAGGCGCCGCCGAGGGGGCTCCAGCGCAGATCCAGGAAACGCCCCGTGGACCTTCGAGGCGTCCTGGCTGCTGCCGCCGCGCTTCCTCTGCGCGGCTCGGAGGAGGGCCCCGTGAGACCACGGCGGCTGCCCAGTCCGACCCAGGTCCGCTCAAGAGCCTGTTTTTTGGGGATTCAGGCAAGTTTACTTGCATGGCGTTCGTCCGCCCCCCCCCCTCGCCCCTCTTCAAGCGAACACTAGCGTGCAAGTGCCTATCGACTTGCGTGATGTCCGCGCCCCCCCCCCCCGGGCTTGCTTCAGGCTCAGCCCCCCTCCCCCCGTCCATGCAAGTGAACTTGCCAGAGTCTAAAAAAAACTGGTGGTCTCCAAACCAGGTGGTGAGACACCCGATGGTGACCCCGATTCCCTCCAAAAAAATATTCTGGGCCACCACCGGGTTTGGGGACACGCGGTCGCCACGAGGTGTTGCGCTTCCTGGGCCAGCCAGCGCTCGAAAACCATTACCCAGATCGCCCAGAACTCACCACCGGGTGCTCTCACCACCACGTTTGGGGACCACCAAATCTGTCCCCGGACTCCTCCCGGGGCCCATCCTTCGAGGCGGGTCCGGCCGTGGCGGCGACGGGGCCTCCGCGGCGGGCGCCGGGGAGGCCCGCCGCTGCCTCGAGAGGGCCCTCCTCCGAGCGAGAGGCCCGCCGCCCCCCCCGCGGCCCCCGCGGCCCCTCCGCGAACTGCGGCGGCGGGACCACCACGGCGAAGGCGAGCCTCCACGGGACGCTCAGGACGTGGAACGCCCAGTCCAGGGGCGAGGGCCCCTGCGCTCGGCTCCTCGTCGCCCTCCTCACGCTCCTCCTGCTTCTCTTTTCCTCCCCCTTCAGCCTCCTCCCTCCTGCCTCAGGTCCTGATATGCTTCCTCCGCCTCGTCCTCCTGCTCTTGCTGCTGCTGCCTCCCTCATGATCCGCCCCCTCCTCGCCCTCTCCCTCCTCCTCGTCCTGCACCCCCTCATCCTTGAGGTCCTCATCCGAGGCCCCTCCCCCCCCCTCCCCTCCACATTCCCCCCTCCTCCCCCTCCTGCTCCACGTCACCCCTTCTGTCTACGGCTGTTCACCATACCTTCATGTCCCTCAGTACGATTAGCCTCGCACTGCTTAGAGGGGACGATTTAGGGGGGGACTGGCTCATGGGGGAAACATGGACTTGGAAACAGGGCGGTGTGTTCTCGGTTGCGAATCCCGGCGTTCCTGGGCAGGGGGAGGCACCAGGTCCCCGACTGGCGATGAGAGGGTGAATGGGGAGTCGATGACTGCCCTCCTGAGAACACCCCCCAGTTCGGGGGTTGCTAAAAGGGCGCCCCTGGCCCAAGCTGCCCCTAGCTTGTCGTTCCATTCTGAAGCCTCGGGGGCCCTCAGTGGTGGTCTGGAGGCCGTGGGGGGCCTCCTTGGGAATCCTGAAGGCACCTTGGGCCAGGGGCACTTCTAGCAGCACACCAGCCTCCTCTCCCTCCGCCTCCTCCTCCGCCGCCTCCTCCTCCTCCTCCGCCTCCTCCTCCGCCTCCTCCTCCTCCTCCACCTCCGCCTCCTCCTCCTCCTCCGCCTCAACCTCCTCCTCCTCCTCCTCCTCCTCTTCTTCCTCCGCCGCCTCCGCCTCGTCCGCCTCCTCCGCCTCCTCCTCCTCCTCCTCCTCCTCCTCCTCCTCCTCCTCCTCTCTCTCCTCTCTCCTAGTCCTCCTCCGCCTCTCCTCCCTCTACCTCCTCCTCCTCTGCCTCCTCCTCCTCCTCCTCCTCCTCCTCCTCTCCTCCTCCCTCCTCCTCCTCCTCCTCCTCCTCCTCCTCCTCCTCCTCCTCCTGCCGGCGCCCATGACAAGGTCCCCGCCTTGGAACCGGGGTTTCCGCGGCTCGACGCGTGCGTGTTGGGAAGTCTCGTGGCCTGAGTGCGCCGCCCTTCCCTCTTCCCCCGCCCGCCTCTTTATTCGGCGTCGAGCCCCTGGGGAAAGAGCGAGAAGACCGCAGCCTCAGCTGAAACAATCTCTTGACGGCAGCGCACCCTGGTTAAGCATGCTTGTATACCTTGAACCGCTTTTCCTCCGCGCGCAGACGAAAGAAAAACCGTGAGGCCAGAGCGGGAGGAGGGGGCGAGGAGAAGGGAGCGAGGGAGGGACGGAGGATGAGTCGTCTCGTGGAGGGATCCAGAAAAACGGGGCGGCGATCACCGCAGGCGCCGACAGGCCACAGAGGGAGCCGCGGTGCCCACGCTGTGGACCAGGCAGACCTGGGGCCACGCGAGGAGCGAGCCTGCGCCAGACGAGGCCGCACTTGACACCTGGGCCTGCACCGCTGCGACAAAGACAGACGGCGCCTGAACCGTACCTGTAAGGGGGGCAGGGGGTTCTTGGGCGAATATCCATATATATATATATACATACATACATACATACATACATACATACATACATACATACATACATACATATACATATACATATATATATATATACATATATATAGAATACCCAGAATTTGTCCAACAATGCTCAAAAAAACGTCCCCACACTATTTGTCCCTCATGTTTGAGCATTCCTTCCGTAGAGAGACAGGCCCGACCTAACCGTAGCTCCACGAGTGTGGCCTCGGGCGGCGGTGCGGGCCGCCCGCCCCCCCCAAAGCCCTCGCCCTCGCCGGCCCCAGCCGCAGCTGGAACTACCGCCGCCCCCGCCCACGGGCTGCTCAGGGTCCCCACAGGCTTCTCAGGGTCCCCATGCCCCTCCACTCTCGCCGCCCCTCCCTTCCCCTCCCCTGCCCCGCCTCTCTAGTCCTTCGGGCTCCCCTCCGCTCTTCTCCCCGGCGGGCCCGTTTCTCGGAAGGCCCAGGAGTCCCCGGGCCCCCCGAGCAGTTCCCTAAGCCTCCCCCGACGACACGGCAGACTGCTCAACGGCGCGAGGGCTTCTGAGAAGCCCGACGGCTCTCTCCCTTTTCAGGGTTTTTTCCTTCTCATTTTCCCCCGTCGTTCGACGCCGATGTGTGCCCTCTTTCCGAGGCCGCCTTCTGTTGCCCCCCCGCCCGTCTTCGTGCTCTACGCCCTGCCCGCGCAGGCTCCGACCGCGCCGCGCGTCCGCCCGCGCTGCGACCGAACAGTTGGGGCGTGCTGATTATGGTTTTGTTGCTGGCATGTTTTATTGTTGGTGGTGTAGTTGGTGTTGGTGTTGTTGGTAGTGGTGGTGCTGCGATTGGTGTTGTTGTCTGCGGTTGTGGTGTTGCTGGTGTCACTGGTGCTGTCGGTGTTGTTGTTGCTGCTGGTGTTGTCGTTGCTGTTGTTGTTGCTGGTGGTGTTGGTGTCGCTGATGGTGGTGGTGGTGTTGTTGGTGTTGCTTCTGTTGTTGAGCTGTCAGTACTGAAGAATATGTATTAGTGATCCCCCCTCCGGCGACCAGTGTTTTTCATTTGAAGTGCTTCCTCCGGGGCTCGCACCCTGATTTTTACCAGGGAAATTCGCAGGGTTCAAACTGTGTTTTTGGCCCACGGATTACAGCAACACAAACAACAGCAACATCGGCCCCCGCCTGAGACGCACTCACATGTTACTCATGATTCTCGCATTCGCTTGGGACTTCGTTATACCTTATTAAGGGATCGCTCCCTCGGCGCTCTGGAGTCGCGCTCTCGCTGGGGGACCTGCTTGCAATACGCAAGCGCTGCGCTCCCGACGCTTAGGCACTCAGGAGCCGCGCTCAGGCTGAAAACTCCCTCACAGCTTACCTGGGCATCAAAATCTCGCAGCCCTTCGTGGCCCCGTTGCAGCCCTCCGTGGCCCCGACCGATGCCCTTCGTTACCCCGTCGCTGCCCTGCGTTGCCCCCTCGCTGCCCTTCGCGACCCCGTTGCGGCCCTCCGCGGCCCCCTCGCTGCCTTCGCGGCCCCGTTGCAGCCCTCCGCGGCCCCCATCGCTGCCCTTCGTGGCCCCGCTGCACCCCTTCGTGGCCCCCTCGCTGCCCTTCGCGGCCCCCGTCGCTGCCCTTCGCGGCCCCCATCGCTGCTCTTCGAGGCCCCTTATACGCACGCCCTCTGTGGCTTCCGCTTGTTCGCGCCAGTCGTGGCCCAACACGCATGCGCTTCGAGGCCCCGCCGACGCCCTTCCGGACCCCTCGCCGCCCTTCGTGGCCCCGTCGTTGTCCTCAACGGCCCCGTCCTTGCCCTCTGCAGCACAATATGCGCACGCACTTCGTGGCCCCCGCTCGTCCGCGCCCGTCGTGGCCCCATGCGCGTGCCCTTCGCGGCACCGCTGTCGCCCTTCGCGGCCCCCATCGCTGCTCTACGTGGCCCCGTTGTCGCCCTCAGTGGCCCCGTCGTTGCCTTCTGTGGTCCCGAAGATCTGCCCTTCGTGGCCCCCGCTCGTTCGCGCCCTTCGTGGCCCCATACGCATGCATGCCCTTCGTGGCCCCGCTGTCACCTTTAGTGGCCCCCTTTCCTGCCCTTCGTGGCCCCGCTGTCTGTCTCGTTATCGCTCTCGCTCTCGCTTTCGGTCATCGTCGTCGTCGTCGCGGCCGCCGCCGTCGTCGTCGTCGTCGTCGCGGTCGGTCCCCTGTCCGTCCATCTTGAGGTCGGGCTGCCGCCGATCAGCGCTGCCCCTGGCCAGGCCGACGGTCCGCGCCCGCCCCGCCTTGCCGGGGCCCAGCCTGCAGGAAAGAACAAATACCCCCCAAAGGGGTACGATCGAAGACGAAGAGGGCGGGTATCGAGGGTCTGGGGAATACACGTTGACGGACACTCGAGCAAATAAGAGCGAACAGTCTTACAATGATTATGGTGGTGTTTATGTTAGTGTTGTTGCTGTTTTTGTTTTTATGGTGGTGGTGTTGTTGCTGGTGTTGTTGTTGCTGCTGTTGTTGTCGACTCCTCATCCCACAAGAACAATGATTGTGGATCCCCCCGTTACCACTGCCCTTTTCAAGTAAGGTGCTCCTCCTGGGGCTCGCACCTGATTTTTGTTCGAGGGAGAAAGAGTCTTTGGTCACCAAGCTGCGCCCCTGGCCATCGGTTTGAACAACAACGGCTCCCACCTGATACTTCCTCACATTGTATTTCAAAGTCGCGCTTAGTCAGCCGCAGTGTCGCTGCCGCGGCCGCAGCGAAAGGAAAGCGGCCGCTCAGCACGAGCGCCTGGGCCGGAGCGGCCTGAGGCAGCAATGGCAGCGGGGGAGCGGCTCGGGCGATCCTGGGGCCATCTGTGGACCACACAGGCCCGCTGGAGAACTCTCCGGGCCAACGTCGGCCAACTTCGGCGCTCTTGGGAATCGTCACCCTCCTCCTCCATCCCTCATCATCCCTGTCACACCCCCAGACGTGTCGGCAGGACGGGCCGGGCGTTTGGCCTGAGACTTCACCGCCATGTATGACCCTCGAGCTTCTGATTTGCAGCAGCTTCAAAGATGGAGGGCGTGTGACGTTCAGAATGTGGCTCTCACCCCAGCGCCGCGCACATTCGTCTTGAAAGTCCGCAGAGCAGCTTCAGGGATGGAGGGCGGGTAATTTTCAGCATGTGGCTCTCGCCCAAGCGCCGCGCACATTCGTCTTAAAAGTTCGTAACAGCGTCAAGGATGCAGGGCGGGTTGTTTTCAAAATGTGGTCATCGCCTAGGAACCGCGCTCATTCGTCTTCAAAGTTTGCAGCAGTTTCGCGGATCTGCAGGGCTGAAATCCCAGGAATGGTGCTCTGGCACGATTTAGGATTGTCAGGACGCAGCTGCCATATTGATTCAAGGTGTTGACGTCCCAGGAATGGCTTCCTTTCACGATTTAGGGACTTGGGGACGCAAGCGTCACATTGATTCGCGGCGGTGGAGTCGCAGGAATCGTGTCTTGGCATGAGTGAGGTTTCTCCGACAATTGTCTTTCTGTGGAACACGTCCGGCACTGAAGAGCACTTCTTGTAGGGACCTGTACCGAGGGAACTGACGACGGTTTTATTGCAACATCGATGATGCATCTTGGGTTTACGTTGGTTCTCCTCCTGCGCCTGTTCCTGCTTCTGCTCCTCCTCCTCCTCCGTCCTCCTCCTCCTCCTCATCCCTCCTGCTCCTGCTGCTGCTCCTCACCCTCATCCTCATCGACCCATTCATTCCCTGCGGCGCAATCGAGGTCAATCACTGATCCGCCCCCTTCTCCTCATCCTCATCTTCCCCCATACCCGACCCCGATACCCCTCTTCCGCGTCATCCTCCTCATCCTCCTCATCCTCATCCTCGTCCTCCTCCTCTTCCCCCTCCTCTTCCCCCTCATCCTCTGCCTTCTCCTCTTCCCCTTCCTCTTCCCATTCTCACCCTCTGGCTCCTTACAATACTAGAATCTCTCCGATCGCACTGTAACCGATTCCCGAGATTCTCCTCTCGCCCTCGTATACCCCTTCCTTCCCTCCTCTTCCTCCTCCCTCCTCCTCCTCCTCGTCATGACCCGTGAACCGACCATGGACTACGGGCAGGAGGGTTCAGCTGGCGGTCGGATGGCGAATGGTGGCTTCCGCCATTCGATGCTTCGTGTCAGCTTGGCATGAAGAGGCCCACAAACACAAATAAATACACACAAATAAAAAGATTCCCAATATTTTCCTATTTTTTTTTGAGTTGTTGTCTTCCCCACCACTTCCCATATTTTCCTGTATTTTCCTGGGGATCGACGATTAATTGTGTCTGTGTGTGTCTTCCCCTCCTGATGGCAGGTGATGGCATGCAAGGGCATTATCCGTGCACTGCATGCCCGCCAGGGCGGCGGAGTCGGAAGGTCGCACGCCAGCCGATGGCCCCGAGGACCGTCCTCATCATCATCACCACCACAACCAGCATGAGCATCATCACCACCACCAGCACCAGCACCACCACCACCATAAGCATAATCAGCATCAGCAGCAGCATCACCATCATCAGCATCATCATCAGCATCAGCATCAGCATCAGCATCATCATCATCATCATCACCACCATCATCATCATCATCATCATCATCATCATCAGCATCATCATCATCATCATCATCATCATCATCATCATCATCATCGTCATCCTCATCAGCAACATAATCAACATCATCAGGATCATCATAACCATCACCATCACCATCACCATCATCCTGATCATCAGAAACATCATCAGCAGCAGCATCACCACCACCAGCCATCATCACCGTCATCCTCATCATCAGCAGCAGCATCAGCGTCATCACCATCACCATCAGCATCATCAGCATCACCATCATCACAAGCATCACCATCATCACCACCACCTTCTTTATCAGCATTAGCATCATCACCATCATCATCATCATCATCATCATCATCATCATCACCACAGCCATCATGAGCATCATCACCACCACCGCCAGCACCACCCCCAGCATGAGCATCATCATCAGCATCACCACCATCATCAGCATCATCGTCATCATAATCATCGTCAGCATCAGCATCAACATCAGCATCATCCCCATTCCATCCGCATCAGAATCAGCATCAGCAGAATCATCGTAACCATCATCGTCACCGTCATCCTCATCATCAGCAGCAGCATCAGCATCATCATCACCACCACCATAATCATCATGATCAGCATCACCATCATCACATCATCATCAGCATCATCATCAGCAGCATCATCATCACATCATCACAAGGATCACTATCATCACCACCACCTTCTTTATCAGCAGTATCATCATCACCATCACCATCATCATCAGCATCACCATCATCATCATCAACATCATCAGCATCACCATCACCGTCATCCTCATCATCGTCATCAGCATCAGCATCATCACCACCACCACCACCATCATCACCGTCATCCTCATCATCAGCAGCAGCATCGGCATCATCACATCATCACATCATCATCATCATCATCATCATCATCATTATCATCATCATCATCATCATCATCATCATCATCATCATCATCATCATCATCATCATCATCATCATCATGATCATCATCATCATCATCAGCATCATCATCATCACCAGCATCACCAGCATCACCATCATCACCACCACCTTCTTTATCAGCATAATCATCATCACCATCACCAGCATCATCATCACCATCATCATCAACATCATCAGCATCACCATCATCATCAACATCATCATCATCATCACAATCATCATCATCAGCATCATCATCATCAGCATCGTCATCATCATCATCGCCATATCCATCACCATCATGTTCATCATCAGCATCATCATCATCAGCATCATCATCCTCATCCTCATCATCACCATCATCCTCATCCTCATCCTCATCCTCCTCATCAATGGGGTCCTCCTGCTCCTCCTCCTCCTCCTCCTCCTCCTCCTCCTCCTCCTCCTCCTCCTCATCCAACCTCCTCCATCCCTCAGCCTCCCTGTCGTACCCCCAGCCTGTGCATCGGCATCTCGGTGGCCCCCGCCATCACTATCGTCCTCGCCCCCGCCGGCAACGTCGAGGACGGCATCCAGGATCTCCTTTGACGGGCCCGCGACTAGGGGACGGAGCAGGAGCAGCAAGCAACAAAGCTGACCGATCTAGTGATTGACCATCGTTAGGAGTGCGTTAGGGTGGGCCAAGAAAAGGGCACCCACAAATTAGAAGAAATCGCCCCGCAACTTGATGCGTCTGCTGTTTTACCACCAACTGGATACAGACAAGCTACTACCATCACGAGCGCTAAACAATGAAAAGACCCTTTGCTTGGCCCCATGAGGCGCTGAAGACCAGTCATGGAAGGACCTGGGGACCAGCGAACCCCTTTCTGGGCCTCGGAATGCCCATTACGTGCGCGTATCGACTGTAGAAGGCTAGCCACGAAAGTCCTCTTCGCAAGTGTAGGGGAACAAAACGTGGCATAAACATAAGAACCCGGAGGTTCGCGCGGACTTCTCGGATCGGCGCTGGACCCCCGGCGGCGCCGGAGGTACCGCCGGGGGGCCCCCGCGCCGATCCGAGAAACCGGCGCGGACCTCCGAGTTTTTACGTTTATGCCACATTGGGTTCACCTAATAACGTGAGCGTGTTGACTGTAGAAGGCTGGCCACGAAAGTCCTCCTGGCAAGGTTGTTCCCCTACGTGAGCGCATTGACTGTATGAGGCTAGCCACGAAAGTCCTCTTGGCAAGTTACCTTGGCGAGTCTGCTCCAAAGCGACCTCTGGGGCCGTGGCACTCGGCCCACGCGGCTCACATCAGACGAGCGGCAGCTGCGGCTGCGCGCCGCAGCTGCGCGCGTGCCGGCCATCCCCGAGCTCCCAGCCCGGCGCAGACGTCACGCTCCAGATCGGGCCACGATAGGGAAAAACAAACCTACCTCGCTTTTGACCACCCTCGCTTCCAAGAGATACCAAACGATGCCAAATTGCAGCCTGTACTGGTCAGGCCGCTTGACGAGGAAGCGCGTGGTATGGCTTGGTTTTGCCTGGAAGCGAAAGCGGGGTAGGTAATTCACGCTCTGACACGAAGCACGCTTCGGATCGCGCGCGCCCCCAGCTTCCCCCAGATCCGGGGCTGCGAGAACTATAACCTCGTAGGCCACACCTTCCTGCGACGTGTCTCGAGCCACGTGGATCGGTGGGCTCAGGAGACGCGTTGCCTCCAGGCCCGTTCGCTTCATGGCGACAGGAGGGGAACCAGCGAGTCTCGTTGCCACTGGACCGCGAGACGGGCAGGCTACAGGACGGGAGCGGAGGACCGAGGGAGGAGGGGAGGAGAGAGGGAGGGCGGGCGGGGGACACTCTTGGAGAAGAGACGGCGGAGAACGGAGGATGGAGAAGGGGGATGGGGGGGAAGAAAGGGAAAGGGAAGGACGCGGACGGGAAAGGATTGGATTGCGACGCTGATGAAGCACATAGCCTATCAGCAATTGGTGGCACGCAGCTTGCAGAGACAATATAGCACAGTCAGCAGCTGTACTAATCGTCGAGATTTGAGAACTCTGCACGGGCACCTAAGCTTAAAGGTCAATGAGCATTAAAAGACGGGAAAGGAGGGATGGAGGACGGGGAAAAAAGAGGCAGCGGCGGCACCAGCACCGGCAGCAGCAGCGGGGGAAGAGGTGAGGAGGACGCGCGGGTGCACTGCGCTGAACGTCCGCGCGACAAAGGGTAGACCGAGGGCGTCGCGCAGCGTGTGCCAGGGGGCGGAAGAAGAGAGCCAAGATGACGACGACAAATCATATACAGACGGCACGCGCACAACGACGAAGACGAGGACGATGGGGGGCAAGACGACGACGACGACAGTGAAGCCAAAGACAAAAACTCGGGGATGGACAGACCTACTTTTAGTAAAACGTGGTTTAGTGAAAACGACCTCGGGCCCAAACCTGGCGGGCGCAAGCCTGGAAAATGACGGCCGCGGCGCCCTCTCGAGAACCGAAAACGGACAATTCACTAATCGACGTGTCAGAATAGGAGGTCTGTCCGCCCCCGAAAAACAAAGGAGACAAGGACGACGGTGACGACAAAGACGGTGACGTGGACGGCTGCCGCGGGCGACGGCGCGGCGGAGCGGACGTGCGCGGCGGCGGAGCGGCGGGGCGGCGCGGCGGCAAAGGCGGCGACGGCGGCGGCGGAACGGCGGCGCGGCACGCCGCCGCGGGTCCTGGCGCCATGCGCTGCACCCGCCCGCACGACTGGACAGCAGACTGCCGCTGGAGCCGCCGGGGGCCGCGCCGGCGTCCTGCGGCGCGGCGCGGGGCGAGCCCGCCGCGGAACGCGCCCAGCGGAGCGCGCGGAGGAAGGGCGCCCGCGGCGCGGAGGAGGAGGAGGAGGAGGAGGAGGAGGAGGAGGAATGCACGAAGGTGTGTTTCGATCTGTTATACATAGAAATACAGAAGAAATGCACATACCTATGAATACATATACGTACATCTACATACATAAACATACGTATGCATACATACATACGTGCAGACGTACAGACCGACAGACAGTCATATATTCATACACACATACATACACATACATGCATACATATACACATGCACACATACGTATATACATACATACATACATGCCACCATACACGCATACATGCATACATGCATACAAACATACAAACGAGCATACATGCATACAAACATACATACATACATGCATGCATACATACATACATGAATACAGACATATGAGCAAACATCCATATAAACATACATACATATATGCATACATACATACATAAATCATGCAACACCCATACATACATATACACATACGTGCATGCATGCATGCATGCATACAAACATACATACTTACATACTTACATACACACGTAAGTACGTACATACGTACATGCATGCATGCATGCATGCATGCATGCATGCACACATATATACATATATATATATATACACATACATACATACAGATGTAGGTATGTGTATGCGAGTGAGGGGGCCGAACGGTCATTCACTGTCTCTGGGCGCGTGGCTGAACTGAGGATCTGCGATACGGGTTAGTGTTGCTGTTGTTGCTGATGCTGTTGTTGAGCTCTGAATTCTCACGGCTGAAGAATAATGATTGTTGATCCCCGCTCCGGTAACATATGTTGTCATCAACCATCCTGTGGTATTGGGTCCTCGTTTTGAAGAGACAGTGCCCCGCGTTCCTCTTTCTCCCGCTGCCCCCTCCTTCCTCACTCATCATCATCATCGTCATCACCGTCATCATCATCGCGATCATCATCATCATCATCATCATCATCATCATCATCATCATCACTATCATCATCATCATGATCATCAGCGGCATCATCATCGTCACCATCATCGCCATCACCGTCATCATCAACATCGTCATCATCATCACCGCCATCATCGCACCCGTCACACTTTTCGTTGCCAAATAAGGTCCACCGAAGGCCACAGTGCCACCGCCCGCATGCGCCACCCACGCTCATGTCGGCACACCCGTCACACGTTTCGTGGCCAAATATGGAGCTCCACCGAAGGCCCTAGTGGCACCGCCCGCATGCGTCACCCGCCAGATAGTACAGCGCTTCGCGGCCCCATAGGGAGCTCCACCGAAGGCCCCAGTGGAACCGCCCGCATGCGTCACCCCCACCCAGTACAGCGCTTCGTGGCCACATGGGGAGCTCCACCGAAGGCCCCAGTTGCACCGCCCGCATGCGTCACCCCCCACCCAGTAAAGCGTTTCGTGGCCCCATAGGGAGCCCCACCGAGGGCCCCATTGGCACCGCTTGCATGCGTCACCCCCCACCCAGTACAGCGCTTCGTGGCCCATTAGGGAGCCCCACCGAAGGCCCCAGTGGCACCGCCCGCATGCGACACCCCCACGCAATACAGCGTTTCGTGGCCAAAGAGGAGCTACACCAAAGGCCCCAGTGGCACCGCCCGCATGCGTCACCTCCACCCAGTAAAGCGCTGCGTGGCCCCATACGGAGCTCCACCGAAGGCCCCAGTGGCACCGCCCGCATGCGTCTCCCCCACCCAGTACAGCGCTTCGTGGCCACATAGGGAGCCCTCTGAAGGCCCCAGTGGCACCGCCCGCAAGCGCCAACCCCACCCAGTACAGCGCGTCGTGCCTGGGAGCCCCACCGAAGGCCAGTGGCACCGCCCGCATGCGTCACCCCCACCCAGTACGGCGCTTCGTGGCCACATAGGGAGCTCCACCGAAGGCCCCAGTTGCACCGCCCGCATGCGTCACCCCCCACCCAGTACAGCGCTTCGTGGCGCACTGAGGACACCATTGGCAAGTGCGTCAAGTGTGTCGAGGACACATTTGGTAAGTGCAAACTCAACAAACATACATATAGCAATTGTGCCATGAGGTACACGAGGGACGGGGGCGGCAATGTCGCATTGGACCAAGAGGAATACATCAAACAGCTCTGTACTATGCAACATCCTGAACTCACTGGCGCAGACGCTGACGCCGAGGCATCCGAGATGGTTGCGGACATGTTCGTCAGCATCAGAGGCGCATTGGCTTACGCATTAATCAC